AGCGGATCGAACACACAGTCACTCCTACTTCGAGTTGCCGTTTCCTATACTGCTGGACACGTTTGATCGACCAAAAACTGTGGGTTTTAGTAAGCGGACGGAAACGTGCACAGAGCCATGCCACGGAGTCACTCGGAGACCTATGCGAACAACTAAACCCATCCAAAGTTTACGGGTGAACCCAGCACTTCATTTGTATGAGTCTGGAGAACATGTTTTCAAAGGGGGAGTGTTACACCAGGCGATCGCGTGCCTCAAAAGTACAATGTCGTCCCACACACTTGACCGTGAGCTTCCCTCTCATCCAATGGTCTGCTGTGGTTCATGTGCATCAGGCCGCCGCCTCTATGATCGGCTGTCCTGCCTGTTTCATGGGCCTGAGATCTGGTCAATACATTGTCCAGTGCCGTGAAAATCTTTCTTATGACGGCCCACCGTCCAGTAACCACAATTACAGCAATCTTCTACGCCCGAGATGAATTTCAACCTGGCTTCCGCGCTGAGGCACGTAATAAACAAAAGGTACAGCCATATTCTTATCACCGGCGACACGACATTCACGCTCTGGAATGCAAAATCACCCGTAGAGAACAGTACAAAGCAGATCTGCAAGTTCTTGTCACCAATTTCGCGCTTATGGGCACATAAACACTCCCACTGGATGAAAAGGGGCAGATAGACCATCCACACTAGACCGGGCATTCACTAAAGAGGACCTCATGATTAAGCGGGTGATCACTGATACTCCTCTAGGCCCCAGTGATCATGCAAATTTGCCCTTCATGTACACTTGCTAGGCAGATTACCTCATGGGGAATACCCAAGTGATGAGGATCATAACACGCTGTGACAGTTGAGCTAGGCTAGTTGAAAAGACTAACTGAAAGTGCTTAGCCGAGGATACACCGGATATTGCTTGAGAAAGTTTCATCAGCAAGTTTAACACTTGGGTTGCCGATGCATCAGAAACTAGGACTACTCGTATGGAACAGGACGCAAATATGCATGGCGACTAGAAACGCAACATAGCATGCTCACAAAACCGACCTGAGCTCGAACAGCTGGATGACTTACGTGGCTCACCGTAACCACTGTATTCAACCAGCGCGCGGGGACAAAAGTGCATATCAACAGACGTTAACAATACGATTTGTTTCTTTCATGAATACTACTACAAGTATGTAAATAGTCTTCTCAAGGTGAAAAGGGGACTTCCTCCTCTTCTAACAGCTGATGGACCAACACCGACTGCCAAAGAAGCAGCAAATACCCTGCAGCAGCAGTACGCGCCAACGTTTTAATATGTTCCGTGGTATCCTAACCCATTGGAATGTACCGTGCCACGACCAAGGCTTACTCATATCTGCTTTACGGCAAACACTGTGATAACCGTTATCCATTCGCCCATGCAGCTCTCCCGGAATTGATTGTATTCGCCCAAATGCTCTTGCCATTGCCGCTAAGAAATTAGCCGAATCTGTAGCGATTCTTCCAGTAATGTCTTAGCAAGTTTCATATGCTTACAGTATGGGAACATGGGATCATAACACTAGTTTACAAACATGACAGTATTTCTAACCCAGCTAACTACCGTACAGTGATTCTTCTTCCAGTTCTTTCAAAACTTATGGAGTCTATCATTGCTGACGGGCTACTGTCTCACCTTGACGAACTTGACCACATCGCGCAAAAGCAACATGACTTCCACCGCAACTGATCATGCACTACTAATCTACTATTTGCACGGGACAGTTGGACCAAAACAGTGAATGTTGGTGTAGGAGTTGATGTTGTCTACCTTGGCTTCTCTAAGGCATTCGACCATCGCATCCTTCTAAAGTGGCTTAGCAACTTCCTCTTGCACAGACGTCTGGAAGTGAAAGTTCGAGAATCTTTATCAAATCCTATCCAAGTGGAATGCGGTGTGCCACAAGGTCCGGAATTGGGGCTCCGTCTGTTCTTGATTTTCATTAACGATCTTGTGAGCTTAATCGCTTTACACTGTTTACTTGACGCCGACGACATCAAACTTTGGTGGCCGATCAAAGCTCCAGATGACCGCATGCAGCTTCAAAAAGACCTCAACACGATTTGTGAATGGTCAATCGACAATCGTCCTCAGTTCAGCGCAACTAACTGTCAAGTACTCCATCTAAGGCACCAAATGGTTCACACTTATAAGCTGGGACACCAGGATTTACAGCACTGTTTTCTGGGCAAACATCTCATTGTGCTGATCCAGGAGGATCTCGATTGTTCGGAGTAATCTACACTAGCATCTTAAAAAGGCGTCCAAAACCTAGGGCTCCTAAAGAAATCTTTTGGTCACTTTGTCCCATCTGTATTTCCCCAGCTATTTTCTACACGCATACGTCTGCACGTAGAATATGCGATTTAATTATAGCGTCCATGGCTGAAGCGTACCACCAGAAACCTCAAAGAGCTATACCACTTCCCTTACGAACAGCGCCTGAGTATTTCCGTAGTTTTCAGTGGACGCTGTCGGCGTTTGCATAGTGATATTATCACAGTTTACCCTAACTACTCATGCTAGCTTCAGTAAAGCGAAGCCGTAACAACAGAGAGGACACCATCTCAAACTGACATAACAATACAGTCAGCTAAAGCGTAGACGGACTTTCTTCTCACTACGTGTGTGCCACATATGGAATTCACTCCCGGAACCTGTGATCTCAGCTCACACTTTAGCTGCGTTCAAAGATCGTTCCGACGATGCGCTGGCCGCGTTACACCACATCAGCTTACACACATGAGCCGTACGCACATTCGGCAAACAAAACCGCATCAACTCACACCCGTTTTTCAGGGACAACCAAAGGCAGTGACAATTTAAGCTGTGTAAACCCATAAGTGGACGATTCAGACGGACAAATATTTGCTCGGAAAGTTCATCATCTTCATTTGATCTATGTTCATGATTGTTTTTCCTTTTATTTGGAAAGCCTTCAGTCACCATCCTGCGAGACATGTTAAGCCTTAGGTTTCATCCGCAAGATACCATTAACCAATGACTTCTGCAGGTGCTTTGATTGCCTGCCAATAATTAATCTTACTGAACATCTAAAGGTAGACTGAAATTGGCTTGAAGAAACAGCAGGATGTCCAACATCCGACTTGGACTCACTGTATAAACGTACCAGCTCCCTTACAGAATTCGGTGGAACACTACAGACTTTCGAGTTGGGCACATTTGTGCTGAGAATCCATACGAGTGTAAACAAAGTCAGACATAGCCAAGAGCCTCACGTAATGGCGCATAGGTAGGAGTCTCTCCTTCCTTTACTATTTTCCACGCTTTCGGTGTACTCATGAGTAGGGTGGTTCTGGGATACACAGTTGGGAGTTCCTTCGCAGTATATTCTAAGTCAGCTAGTTTTTCACTTTCCTGGAAGCACGCTAGACGATCGTTTGGTCCTATCGGGACTCGTCGGTAGTGCGTGTCCATCGACTTCACCGGAATCCGAATCCATGACCACTAGCAGCAAAGACCGCTAGCCATCAGCTTATGCTACTCAACCGCAGAAGGGACAGTGAGTACCGTCACGATTAGCAAGCCAACAGTGCGTCTCATCCATGCACTGCCGTGCAAGATACAAACGTTGCAGAGAACAGGGTTGGATTCGAGAGACACGACTTCCACTGGCAGCAGCAAGGCAAGAAACCTTACCCCTCAGATCAGCAGACATAACGAGGCTAGTTACGTTCGACCACTAGTGCTTTCGCAGTTTCGCTCACATCTGATGGGAACCGCGTGAGAAATGAACGTGTTCGACGCCTTGTTTACGGCACAGGAAAAGAAACTGAACCGCACAGCACCGTCATTTCACGCATCAGGCTCCGATGGCTCGGCCACTTGTTGCGTATGCCAATCCACCGGCTTCCGCGACGTGCGTTGTTTGCGCGCCGGGTGTGTGGATGGAAGAAGAGGAGGGGTGGCCAAGCGATGATTTGGTCGAGAGGAATGAAGGCCCTCACTTTTGAGCCGGCCTCGGTTCGAGCGTCTCGGCTCCCTGATTGGAGTCCGAAAGACGATGAACACGTTTGGCTGGATACACTTTGCTGATGTGGCTAGGAGCCAATCTTAATGGCGTCCGTGCTGTGAGCTTCTTCGTCCCACCCCATCCCTCTTAGCCTCCCCCTCCAACCAAGATCTCAATTCTTAGCTTCATATAAGTTTGCATAATAAATTTCTTTTGCTGCATAGTAGCTGGCTGGTAGCTATCCGGAACGATACCCAACCGTTAATGGTAGCTCAGCTGGCATGCATCAGTTGCAAATTTTTTCTTTATTTTTTATGTATTGCGGCACAGTAGCTGAGGTGTTTTCCACCTCTAGCTGATGTGTATGATGATACTGAGGCACGATATAGCATTTAAAATCTGTTAAGGCCAATATTTTGTTGCACTCAAGTGTAGGAGGGTTTTCATGTAAATTATCTGTAATTCCTTCTTACTAGCTTCCAAATCAGGTAAGCCTCTACTGCCTGGAAACATGCTAGCCGACGGTTTCGTTTTTGCGTGCTTATCGACCGAGCATTGGGAGGATTACCTGATTCGAAAATCACTGCGCAAGAATCCCCATTGTTTACACATCCGTTGTATGTATGCAGTATGACGTCGTGACAATTGTTTTGATGAGCCCAACATATCATGGTTTTTGACTGGTTTCACTCCCAAGCGCAAGGCTTGCGCAGCTTGCCTTACTCACAACCAGTTTGGGTAGATATTCCTAAACGTGACTTGATGGAGGTGATTTTCTCAACCCCCGGTCATAGCAACAATCACCCAGAGCAAACCCCGTGTAATCGTACCTTTCTGTGTCGGTTACATGCAAATAAAATGCCACAGTGCGCTTCTGATGTGTTTTCCATGCGTTCGAATTATAGCACCGAGTAATCCAACACATGTGACTCATCACCGCATCTGCTTCATGACTTATTGCTTCTAATTACTGTTGTCTCACTTTTTCCTTAACTCCAGTACCCAAACCCTTCGTACACAAAACATTGGTCAGATACCGCTATCCTCATATGGTCGTTTGCGAACCGCAGGAGAGTGGCTTTCGTGAACCATTAATGGTTGCGCTTATTCGAGTGGTAAAGGAACCCTGGTTGCGTCAGCTCCGTCCTGGAGTCATCGAGGCGAGTTTCACGCAGTTGTGGCCTATTTCAGTTGCATAACACACAAACTTCAGATGTTCTCCATTCCTTATATTGTGGAGTCAACGTGCAGAGTGCATTTGCTTCAAATATGGTTATTCCCGGTAACTGATCTGTGATATTGATTGATGCAATCACGATCGCAACTCTTTCACATACTCCCTGCGCGATTGGCTTTCTTCTCACACCCTCTGGACGGTCTAACACAATATTAGGAGGTACCAGTACTGTTTTAAATGATTTAACTGCAATTTCCCACAAACCGACACAACCAGACAGTCGGTAATACCCGGAGAGGCTCTGGACAGCGGTTTCGCCTATTTTTGGCTAGATAAGAGCGCGCATTCCGCTGGACTAGTGAGAGCCACAAAACTAGCATTCAACTTCGCAAGCAGCTACTAAAGCGTCTGGTTATGGAGAGTGCCTGATGTCGGGACGACCAAACAATTTGTCGTTTGCTGCAGAACATTCCTCACTGACTGGCGAGTTGCAGCTAGATGGAGTACGTCAGTCCACTTCCCCAGTAATGACAACTGAGCACTGTCAGCTACCTCTGCTAACCATGACCTAGAAATATCAGTAAATGTTTACTTTTCGTTATCGCTCAGTTTTGAGTCCCTCGCCACTTACTACTGGCTGATTCCGAGAGGAAGAATCGGCTGTATAGTGCCTTCCAAGTGTCCGCGGTTGTTTGACCGGGTGTATCGATAATAATAATAATAATAATAATAATAATAATAATAATAATGTGTCAGCTTTACGCCGTAACGGCGCTTTGCTGTCGCGCAACCACCAACAGTCGCGCGCGGGCTGAGTATACCGCGAGGACGCCCACCCCTACGCGGATTCGAACCGGTGGCCTTATGGTTGCAAAGCAAACGTGCAGACCACTCGGCCACCGGCCGACCGGTGCGTCGATAGTGACTACCAATCAAGCACCTTGTGTCCCAAGCCACAAAGCTATCTAAATATAGGTAGAAGTAGTGGGAAACCGAACCTGCTACTAATATGGCACTTAGTTGCTGTTTAATGATTACGTAACGGGAAGTTATCTGATTGCTAGCGGTTTTGAGTGAATGCAATTCTACCATCACCTGACTGCGAATCTGATGCAACTAAGCGGTGAATTAATCGTATGGTGGTCCATCGCAACTACCGATTAATCACTCTTCGTACTTATAAGAAGCGCGGCATATAGAGGCAATCAGTTAGGCTGAACCTGGTGGCCAAACCGATAACGCGAGGGCTTCAACATGCGAGTTAATTGTGTGGATCCTCTTTCGTTGCTCTGAGCAGTCCACCTACACTCACTGTGTACAACGTGGTATGCATGCAGCTTGTATTGAACGGTCTAAGTTTATACACTGACCCTCGTAACATGGCCGTGGCCAACTGCAATGCTAGACAACGGTGCAAATTCGTTCAATGAAAAAATGTAACAGAAGTATGATAAGTGCCCGAATATCACATTTGGTGATCACATACGCTAGAACACTAACATTCCCGGTTGGTGTACTATGCGAGCATTGCTGTGCAGAATATGAGCAACACAGGCCTACGAATAGCGTTATAACAAGGAATGTTGTCCAGGCGCGTCACCACGTCCCTTTCCAGCATATCATACGGATGATTTTACCGACACACATAATGAATTACTTATTTCCACCGCTTTCCCCCCCTTACTCCTACATCAGTAAATCACGTACCACGTGATAAGCTGTCGGTGTACAGCAATAACGAGTTGTTATTGGAAGTAAACGCTATGAAGTAGATAAACGAACACTAGACTCAACCAGACTATAAGTAGTGTCAGTAGGAGCACTGTGTTGACATTTCTTTCTCTGATTTTCCTTTGTGGTGCAACTTGTCCTTAAAACCCATGGTGCTAAGGATGCCGCATAGTGTAATCAATGGTCTCGGTATTTGGAGTTGGGTGAGATACCGACAAACCTCGTAAACAATCTACACATTAGTCTTAAGTGCTCACATTGAATCATGTTTCCTCTAAACACGCTCGTTTATCCTAAATCGTTTCCCACTTGCTTCACACTATTGTGACGCAAAGCTGGAACGGGGACAACCTCGGAACGGGCGCTATAAAGTCACCTGCGGTAGTATTGTGCGCAGTCAGGTAAACAGCAGCAGGGTGAATGTTACAAGTGGAGAACATTGTGTACAAAATTTAGCACTAGCCTCCAGCCACTTATTGCCCCGACATCCTTCATTTGTTTAGATGATTCACTACTAGTTTCGCTCGTGGCATCCGTCCCACCACAGTACAGCAGCTACATTGTCGCTGACTGGAACGCCTACCTCACAACAATATGTTACCTGCGGTTCATACGAGCAAATTGTCTGCGAGAAAAAAAATCAAGGGTTCCAAATTCACATCGTCTGACAACGTTGGAGAGAGAGAGTATATTAACATGTATTATCTGCTGCACCGTGAAGCTCAGTTATTTGAAGTCCTAAAGGCGTACATGCTACTGATGTCACGCAGCCTAAACAAGCTACTTAATGCGTTGCCTCGTCTACATACAAGGTCAGGAGCTTCCCAGTTGTGAAGATAGGAACAAGAAATACCAATTAATAGCGAGACAAGCAGAATTATTGTTGCGCTGCACTATTGTCTTACTCTGTATGTGAGTGAATGAATACCGCGATAACTAATATTTTTGGCGGTTTCCACTACGAGCAATTTCCGGTAATTCCTCTTGAATCAATGGCTTGCTCTTATCGGTATCCACCCTTGAAGAGAGGGAGGTTGCGTGCTGCGTTTTTTTGTCCTTCAGAAGTGAGTTACTTCTGCCCTCTTGTAAGTCACCTTCACCTAACCCCAACTGTGAGCGGCGTTGCAGGCTTCAGCGACATATCTATCAGGCCTCAGATCCCGAAGCTTAGCATGAAATCACTTGTCTACCAAACTCGTTTATGTCGTCAGGCGGCCGGCATTCAAGTCCTCTTACTTGCCATACCGCTTCCTCAGAACAGCGGAGCATGAAAGGGGCCGAGTAATTCTCTAGTATCAAACAAACCTCTTTGTGAGCTTAGTGACCAATCGGTGATTCGCACGCCTGATTCATTTTAGTGGCGTCTACGGTTGCGGAACTAACCAACATGTTTTTCGGTAGTAATAAATCTTTCACTTAACTTAACATCGGAAATGGCTTCCACGTGACCACTTCGAAGCTGCTGCTGAACCGGACTAACGGTTACATCCTCCCCTCAGATGGCTTTAATGTCCGCGACCTGAACCTGCCAGCATCCACTGGCGCGCGGTTTAAGGGCTGTCTACAAAATCTGTTTTCCAGCTTCCCCTACTAACTTCTCCCATCAGTTTTTGAACGGAGTAGTGCCGACTGATGCTTTGTGCTGTACTCATTGACGAAAAGTCATTGTAAACTGGAGGGATGCAAGCAGTTCTTTAAGACTGTTTCGTATGACTGAATATGCATTACGGAATATCCCTGAGTAGAGGGCAAGAAACTACACACTTATACATTATGATGCGCTATCCACACTCGTTAACGAGGCACCTTGGACCTTGTTGGCTGAGTGCACTTCAGCGACTGCGTGTGCAGCATGCACGACCACTTATGGCACATTGATCACGAGCGTTCGGAGCCGAATGATTTTATACTTCTGCTCCGAGTCATGCCATTTGAAGACGAGTAACTCGAACCTTTATAACGCTAGGGGATTTGATGGAGACATGGAACAAGGACTCTTGTAATACGGAAACCCGGACTGCATACCGGACTAAACCTAGCTATGTACCCTCTCTGTCTGCGAGGACAAGGTGACACACTAACAACAATTGCTAAACGGATTATGTGTGAACTACCCACTTCGCTACAGATCCGTCAACAGCTTCGTAGATCGTAGTGCAGGATCCCGCTACTCGTTACGCTTCGGAAACATACACAAATGGTAAGAGAAACAACAGCAATGTTTTACAGCTTTAGTACCCATCTATCCTTCAGAGAGTAATTTGCTCGCCTGTGTTCGAAATTTCTGTTTCTCTGCTGGCAGATTTAGCCCGTATCTCCATTATAGGATCGGTGTTAAGGCAGCTATTATCCGCCGTGCTTTCACTGTACTCCTTCAGCGGAAAACACTCGCCGAAAACCCTGAAGATAGCATAAGATGCTCTAGCCGAATCATCTGCTTGATTCTACAGGAATAAAACCTCCGTCGACGTATAAGCGATGGGGTATCAGCGCTGTTCACCAGGCAGAACTTGCACTGAGTATGCAGATTACCAGCCATTAATGCCGACTCCTGTGTTTCTAAATTTACAGACGGATTCGCTGCGAGTAAGTTGATGCAGTACGCGGAATTCCACAGTAATTTATTACCGGTGAAGCATGCTTTTCGGCATCATCGGCCGTGTGCGTGCGTAGGTACGTACGTATTAGCAACTGGCTAACGAATAGACAGACCTAAACAAAACCATGGAAATCATAAGAATACAGGTTTAATCACCAGATCATCATCATGGCGCATTAGCTGGTGAGCAGCTCACTTCAGCCATTGTGCCGTATGAAGAAAGGAACTGTTCTTGTTATTTTTTCACACGTCATTTTTTATATTTTTTGTCGTTTTCAATTGTTAAGCATTGCACATCTAAATCTAAACAAGTAGGTACATAAATCATCCACTGGTTTCGGCTACGCGCCATATCTTGCAATGTTTCTAGCCATCGGCACTTTTCATGCTTTGGTCCCCAACCAGGCAGGCGTTTGGATCCAACGGCAACAAGACGTGAAGTCAACGCTTTCATATGCTGACGCCAAGTGGACGGCTGACCAACACGCGGTCTCTTCCGGCCAAGCCCTGCACGAGCGAAAAGCGCGCAGTAAGGCAAACGCTCAGCTGACCTACGCAAAACATGACCGAGCCATCTTAGCTGACGCAGCGAAACAAGCTTGTTGAGGGGCAAACTTGCATCCCCTAGGAGACGAGGTCGGACTTCCTCATTG